ACCCCTCGGGTCCCCACCCAGGCCTCACCTGTCACCGTGAGCTCTGCACAGGGGCTCTCGGTGATCTGCGTCTCGGGGGGCAGGTTGATGGCCCCACAGTAGTAGGTGCCGCTGTCATTATGTAGCACGTGGCTGATGTGCAGGTGGAAGGCCTGGCTGTCAGCCAGCTTCGTGATGCTGAATCGCCGGTCCCGGGCTGGCTCACCACGGTCCTGGGGGTAGGCGGCCAGTTTGACCGATTGGTTGCTGGGGCTGCCTCGGTACCAGTTCAGCACAGTGGGCTTGCTCGTGTTGGGGAAGCTGCAGGTGAACGTAGCCCCTCCCCCCTCGGGCACTGTGAGCCGGGCCGGCAAGAGGGTGAGGGGGCTCTCAGGCCTCTCGGGGCAGCCTGGGGAGAGAGGAGCCAGATGTGAGCGAGGGGCCCCGGCAGCCTTCCAGACCCCTAGCCATCCACGGCCCGGTGCACCCAGTGCTTCTGCCAAGGGGCCTCTCAGTCTCTCTTTGCAGGCCAGGTGGCGGCTCTCGAAGTGGGACTCTTCCCCCGGGCTTTACTGTGCTTGCACACCAGGGCTTCTGTTCGCTGTTCTGGCTCTGACGTCCTCCCTTCTCTCCCAGGGGCTCGTAAGGGCCTCCACTGCCCCTGTGACTCCAGAGCGCCACCCACTCCTGGGCACCCTGGTTCTGTGTCCACTGCCCCGTCAGCCTTGGACCACCATGGTGGAGGGGTTCCCATGGAGGCTTCCAGCCTTGGGCTGAGCTTAGCTTCTCAGCGGGCTTGGGGTCCTGCCGTTACTCTCCTCTCCAACAGGCCAGAGCCCATTGGGAATACCGTGTGGGGATGTCACTGATTGGTTCCCCACCATGCACGGCTGCTGTCAAGGCCAGACTCACATTCAGAGCAAGGAGCTTTCAGAGGCCAATGGCCACCCTCCCTTATATGGACCAGGAAATAGGCCAGACCACCCTGGCTGGCTCTGTGCCCCCCAAGCATCTGGCCAGCCCCTAAATGAGTACTAGCCAGAATCTTCTACTGCAAGGGCTCTGGCCTTCACCTTCCCAGGACCCACCTCACTGACCTTCAGTTCACCCACACATGTGGGCACACGCACATATACTCCCATGCATCCAGGCACAGTCACACTCATGCACATGCACACATGTATGCACACGCACACCCCCCCACAGCCACACTCACGTATATGCACACACATAATACTCACACAGCCACACATGCACACATGCACACACACACAGCCACACATGCACATGCACACATGCACACACAGGGAGCCATGCTCATGCACATGCACACATGTATACAATACACACAACTACACATGCACACATGTACTCCCCCACACAACTACACATGCAAGCATGCACACATATGCACACCCACACACAATCACCCCCCCACACACACACCTGCAAGGCACACACATGCATACACAATATCTGCACACACCCACACACAGCTACACTCATGCACACACACCAGTCTCTGCATGTATATGCACATATGTGTGCACAATTACACAGAGACACACAGCCACAAACACATGTGCACACACACTTTCACATACCAGGCATAGCCTCACTCATGCACATGTGCACAGACACGCATACTGACACACAGCCACCCACACCTACACATGCACACCCTCACATGCACACACACTTGGCTTGCTGGCTTTGGTGGAGGAAGCATACCCATGCAACACTCAGCAGCTCCTGGCACCCTGAGTGGACCCCATCTTGGGGCCAGAGTTAGAAGAGGCCCAGCTCAGAGCTAAGAGGTCGCCAGAGCTGGCTCCAGGACCCATCACCACCCAGACCCCCAAGCCCCCATTCTGGTCTCCACAGACCCAGTGATGCATGTCCCAGGTGAGTGTCTTCATGCTGTGTTTTACACTCTGTGCCCCATATGCCACGCCCCATGCCCCCCACGTCCTCACCACCCCAGGCGAGTGTCTGCTTTCCTGTTGCCCTTCTCCCCCCAGCAGTGACACAAACAGGCCTTAGAGGGACTTGTGGAAGTACACTTCCTCACAGATGTCAGCCTGGGTTGCCATGACTACAGTCTTCTGATCCCAGGGACAGGCTGGCCACTGGTGGGTCACAGTGACCCTTTCTGCCTACACTGGTTCAATTCGGAGCCCATCTAACTGGGGCTCATCAGGGGGCAGGCATTCTGGGGCCCATTATAGGACTCCCCTCCTATCACAGGGACCAAGGGAGGTGTCTGGAATAATTGCCTACTGGGACAGACATCACAGATTTTAGAGGTCCATTGGCCTTGAGGTGGCTGAGGTGGTTCTGTCACCCTGTGTTGTTATAGCCTTGCTCATGGACACACAGGGAAGGGCTGACAGCCCCCCCCCCCGACCCTCCAGACAAGGAAGTTTGGAGAGGCAGAGATGTCAGCCTGCACCCCTACTCCTTCCTCTTCCTGCAGGCTCTCTGGCCACTGGCAGTGATGTTGCCTAGTCCCATTGGAGCGCCATGCTGGACTTAAGGGCGGTCATGACCCTGTGACCTGAGGCCAGGAGGCCACATTGCAGGTGGGGCCCCGTGGAGGGGGTGTCAGGCTGCCTCAGCAGTTCTGTGGGGACAGGGGCGTCCATGGATCTCAGTGGGTTCTGGGGAGGTGCTGTGGGAAAGCAATCCAGAGGGGGCACAGGCTGGGATGGGTGGCTGGTCAGCGGTCTGAGCCCCAGTTAAGCCCTAAAGACCCAGGAGCAGGGGTGGTGCTGGGCCCCATGGGGTTGGGATCTCTTGGAGGGATAAAAAAAAAAAAAGCAGCCGACTCTCGGCCAGTGCCGGGCAAAATGAGTGTGAGGCCAGCCACACCAACATCAGAGTAGCCAGTGCCCCCTGGGGGCCATGGCTGTGCCCTGGGGGCTATGCTGGACCTCCATCTCAGAGAGAACACTGGGCACAAGGACATCATGGGGTGAAGCCCCAACAGAAGCTTCATGCGTGTGGGCAGACATTGGTGCAGTGGCCACCACTCAGCTACTAACCAGAAGGTCAGTGGTTGGAATCCAGCAGCTTCTCCCAAGGAGAGAGATGGGGCAGTCTGCTCCTGTGAAGACTGACAGCCTTGGAGACCCTGTGGGCAGTTCCACTGTGTCCTCTAGGGGCGCTGTGGGTCTGAATTGATTCCACAGCAGTGGGTTTGGTTTGGGCTTTGCTTCCATAAAGATGATGAAACCCAAAAAAACCAAACTCACTGCTGTGGAGTTGGACCTTACTCATAGTGACTCCTTCTTGGGTTTCCAAGGGAGTATCTCTACAGAAGTAAATTGCCCAGTATTCCTTCCGAGGAATGGCTGGTGGGTTTGAACCACCAGCCTTCTGGTTAGCAGTCAAATGCCTTAGGCGGTATGCCACCAGAGCTCCTTGGAGACCCTGTGGTACAGTTGCACTCTGTCCTCTGGGGGCACTGTGAGTGGAATGGACTCCATACAGTGGGTATGGTTTGGGCTTGGCTTCTGCGAAGATTGTCAGCCTTGGAGACCCTGTGGGGCAGTTCCACTCTGTCCTCTAGGGCCGCTGTGAGTGGAATGGACTCCACACAGTGGGCGAGCAGACGCTGGATTGTGGCCAGATGCTGAGGGGCACTGGCCTTCAGGACTGTGGAGGAGGATTCGTTCCATCCCTGTGGCATGAATGATCTTGAACTGACCATGGAGTCTGTGGAGTGGAACTTGAAACATTGTTCAACTGCAGAAAGTGGCCCAGGACGGGGGCCTGGCTTCCCTTTTCTGACTGGAGTGTGACCTCCCCTGGCCTGCATTGCTGCCCCAGGAGCTGGGTTCGAGGAATCCGCCTGGGAGCGGGTCGAGCTGCGCTCCTCCACCTCCCTGACTGGCCAGTTGGGAGGGTGGGGCCTCGAATGGTGTGAGGGGCTTGGGGACTGGTGCCAGGCCACCATCCACGCCTGCTCCAGGGACACTCTATGGCAGCCCCCCAGGGACTCTGGGGCCACCTGTGTGTGGACTCCCAGGCCCAAAGGACCAATATGGCGTGCATGCCTCCACCTCCAGGAAGGCTTCCTGGACTCTTAGTTGGACAAGAGCCCTGTCAAGGAGGCAAACATTTGGAAGTGACCAGTGGCTTGTTCCTAGGGGGTCCCAGTCTTTCCTGAGGTTTCTTTCTCAGACTCAGTGTCTTCAGGAGCTGGGGGAGAGAAGAGCATCTTGCTCCAGGCAGAGCGAGAAGGGAGAGACCCTGCTTGGGGCAGCACCCTGGGCCCTAGCCCTCCACCTTGTGGGTCCACGGAAGCACTGGTAGTGGGTGTCTCTGCGACCCCCCTGGTGTCCTTCAGTCATCACAAGAAGAGAAGTGCCTTCTGTGGACACGTCCTTCACTGAGTATGTGAGGGAGCACCCCTGTCACTGACACCCCCACTGTGTGTCCCTACTGGGCCCTAAGATGGACCCACAATGGTGCCTTGGCTGAGGCTCTTGGCTTCGAGCTCCGCTCGAGGAACAAGGACATGGGAGACAGTGCTGGACGCCGCTCCTACGCCCCTGCCTCAAGTCCTCAGGGAGACACTGGGAAGACAGAGAGGAAGGGACACTAAAGGAGTGGGACCCTGCTGGTTTGGGGCAAGTAAGCCCCCAAACGCACTGCTGCTGGCCTGACTCCAGCAGACCCTCGGGTGTTGGAGCAGAAGGGCCCGCACGGTTCTCCTGACTGCTACTTCAGAAGCGGAGTGACAGGCTGCGTTTCTAAGGTGTCTCTGGGGGACTCGAACCTTCAACCTTTGGTTAGTGGCTCAGCACATCCACCGTTTGCAGGGGAAATACAGCCCGGCCCTCCAAGCCTTCAGGGGCCCCGGGGCTCCCTGCGTGTGTGGGCCGCGTTGGCCGTGAGCCGGGCCAGCGGGACAGGCCCACAGAGGCTGTGTCCGGAGAAGACACGCTGGAGGGAGGGTCCCCGGGGACCGAGCCCCGCGCGCAGAGCCGGCCAGCAGATGAGTCAAGTTCTCCAGGATGGCTCTGGGGGAGGCCCCCGCCCTGTGTCTCACTTTTCTGCCTGATCATCTTTTCAAAACTGCAACTCGGAAACAGTCAAACAAGCAGACTCCCAAAAGTATGTCGGGGCAGAGAAACCCCTGCCGCCCAGCAGCATGGGGGCTGAGCTGGGCTCAGCCATGTGACCAGTGAGGGCGAGTGGGGAAATTGAGGCACGCTGCATGCCAGAGGCTCCTTCAGGGCACAGGCTGGGGTGGCGCTGGCGACCAGAAGAAGCTGTGCTCTCGCCCCCCACTTAGTGGTGGCCCTGGTATGGAGTAGGGCCGGGGACACACCCCGGTGTTGCTGGCCTCAGTCATGGCTGCCCTGAGGTCCCTTCCTCCTTCTTCGACAGCGTCCTCCTGGCTTTTCCCCAGCACCCGACAAGGCCCTGTGGGCAGCATTTGGCCTCCTCGTCCAGCTGTGCCCCTGCATCAGGTCTCAGTGGCCGTAGGCCTCCTGGGAGAGAGCAGTGGGCCCTGCTTTGGGCACAGGGAGGGGCTCGGGGATGGACTCAGGGACCAAGGCCCCAAATTGGCCATCAGGGCTCTGCTGCCCTGTCCCTAGCCTCACGGCTGTGACACTGCCATGCCCAGGGAGGCCAGAGAAGCCCACGGCCTGCAGTGACAGTCACCACCCCACCGCTGGCCCCATCCTCAGTGCCCACATCTTTGGCATGCCCTCTGGCTCCAAGGTGAGTGCCCCCTTGAAGGAGCCCCTTCTCTCAGGACCTAGGGCCTCAGGCTCTCAGCAGTGGGTGGTCTGCACCAGGACCCCCTGGCTAGCCCTGCCAGTGCCCCTGAGGGTGCTCTGAGCCACACCTGGGACTGGCACATCTTGGCGCTCTTGTCAGACGAGCCTCCTCACACTTGTCATATAATCTAGACATGTCACTCAGCCACCCAGTCTGTGTCCCCGGAGCCAGAGGGACACCAGAAGGTAACACAGCTGGGCCTGTCGCTCACAGGGAGGAGAGGCAGGAGACCAGAGTGGGTGGCCTGACCCACCAGCGTCAGGAGAACTCGGATGAAGACAGAGGCCATGCCTGCCCATGTAAAGATGTGGCCCGGTACAGCTGGCAGGTGAAGGGAGGGCAGGTGTGCATGTGAGGTGGGAAGGTGAGGCGCCCAGGTGAGCGGCAGAGCCCAGAGAGGCACCTGGCCACTCAAAGCCACCCAGTGCTCAGAGGGGCGGTGGTGGGCTGTGGTGCTGTCAGCAGCTGGGAGAGTTCCACCCTGATGGCTGTGGCAGGACGGAGAGGAAGCCATCTCTGTGCCCGACCCCAACCCGTCCCTGCCCCCGCCCTGCTGTGCCGTCCCTGTGCCCTGTACCTTGGAGCCATCCTGGCCGCCAGCCCAGCTGCAGCACTGCCCAGAGGAGTGGCCACGGTGCCCACGGGGCCCGCATGTCCAAGTGGCCTCACGACACGCCCAGCACTGCCACCTCCTGGGCTGCTCACAGCACCCGGGGCCCCGGGAAAGTGGTAGTGGAAAGGAAACTGTCCCGGGTTAGGTCACAGGGAGGGACCCCGCCACGCCCCACCTCCTCTTCCTCCGCCTCCACGTGGTGGGGAGTGTGTGTGTGTGGGGCAGAGAGACAAAGACAGACAAGGAGATAGAGGGATATACATACATACATATACACACATCCATACACATGTATACACACACATACATATACACATACATATGTACATACACACGTACATATGTATATATGCACACACACAGGGAGGGATCCCCCCACGCCCCACCTCTTCTTCCTCCGCCTCCACGTGGTGGGGAGTGTGTGTGTGTGGGGCAGAGAGACAAAGACAGACAAGGAGATAGAGGGATATACATACATACATATACACACACCCACACACACATACACATATGTGGACACACACATGTAGACACAACACACCCACAAACATGCATGCACATGCATACACACACATACATACACATACATATACACACATACCTATACACATGCACATATACACACATGTGCATGCATATACGTGCGTGCGTGTGTGTGTGTGTGTGTGTGTACACACATGTATATAAAGCCATGGAGGCGCAGGTCAAGCACTTGACTGGAAGGTGGTGGTTGGAACCTGCTGGCTGCTCTGGGGGAGGAAGATGTGGCCAGCTGCCCCCACAGAGGTCACAGCTTTGGAAGTGAAGGGCGGATCTCCACCCCACAGGGTCGCTCTGGGCCGCAGTCAAGGGGCAGCAGTGGGGGAGGGAGACATGGAGAGACACACAGCCAGCCAGATCAGGGCCGGGAACAGTTTCTGCTTCTTTGCTTGTTTGTTGTTACCTCCTTCCGTTTCCCCCTTGAGTCCCCCACTCTGTAACTTGAGGCTGCGGGTGGGGGTGCAGGGCCCTCTGCCCCCAAATCCCAGCCCTGGGGTCAGACCTCCACCTCCTGCAACCTGGGGAGGCAGGTCACTCTCTAGGCTTGGGTTCCTGGGAGGCTGTAGTGAGAGGGGCAGGGGAAGTGGGGGAGCAGTGGGGGCAGGGCAGTGAGGGCAGGAGGGCAGTGGGCACAGAAGGACATTGGGGACAGCAGGGCAGTGGGGGGAGCAGGGCAGTGGGGACAGTGGGACATGGGGGACAGTGGGGACAGCAGGACACTGGGGGCAGCAGGGCAGCAGGGCAGTAGGAGCAGGCCGCTCCGGCTGGCTTTCAGCCCACTCTGCCCCACACTGTCTGGGCTGCCCCTAGGCTGATGAACCCCGACCCCCTACACATTCCTACACATTTTGATGAGCCCCTGTGGGGGAGCCGGGCTGGCTACTCTTCCCTCCTCCTGCCACAGCTCAGGGGACATCTGCCCCGTCAGGCCCGGCTGCCCCCTCCGGTTCCTCGGAAGGTGTGTGCTGTCAGCGGCCAGGGGAGCGGTCACCGGGCCCCTCCAGCCTAGCCTGAGGGCTTTCGCGGGGCCCCACGAGGGCTCCGGGCGGCCAGGCTCCTGGGCGGCCAGGCTCCCAGCTCCGCTCCTGCAGAAGTCCTGGCCGCCTCCCCCCGCCCGGCCGGGACGTCACCGACTCCCACGCACGGCCGGCCGGGCTCAGCGGCAGCCCGCCTGGTGCCGTGTGGTCTGCAGTGGAAAGCGGGAGGCCCGGAACTGCTGGTATCAGACGCGGGCCTGCGTGGGCTCCAGGCCTGCGCCCCGCGCCAGCGCCCCGCCTCCGGGCGCAGCTGGGCAGGTGGAAAAAGTTCATCATAGACGGTCGATGGCAGGCAGGCGCTGGGAGGAAGCGGGCACCGTTCATTTCTGAACGGAGGGCCACACTGGGCGAGGCGTGCAGGCACCGCGGAGGGGGGAGCCCCGGCCGGGCGTCGGTGGGGCCCTGGCCACCTGCAGGCTGCCGGCCAGTGGCACGGTCAGGGCAGCAGGGCTGGGCGGGGAGGCCGCGTGAACAAGGTCTCCTGGCACCCCAGGCCGGTGTCCTCTCCTGGCACAGGGGGGGAGGGGGGGTCCCGGGACCCCCGGGCTGGGGCTGAGAGGCCACCCCTGTGCAGAGCCTGACCAGCCAACTGGGGGCACCCCCAGCACTTCAGAACGCTGTGCCCACCCTCTAGGGTCATGGCCACTCTGTCCTCCGGCCGCCCACTGGGGCGCTCGGGGCGCTCGGGCCTGGGGCAGTGCTGGCCTCTAAGGACCCAGTGTGGCATTGCCGAGCTGGGGCCGCCTTGGTCCCAAACAAAACCCGGGGCGCCAGGAGCCAGGAGGTGCTAGGCTAGGCAAGCGCAGCCAGCAAGGCTGTGCGTGGCCTCCGCCCACGGGAAACAGGGGCGGGAACAGGGGCTGGGGCCCCAGGAGAGGCTGGGGCCAGGCCTGGGGCAGGCAGCCTATCGCGTGGGACTGGGTGGGACAGAACCTGAGCCGGCTGGAGGGCTGGAGACTAGGCATCCCTGACGTGCCACCTCCCTGCCCCCATGACAAGGAGGAACGGAAGGGCGGCAGCAGAATGGGGAGGGGGCGAGGGTGCTGACCCAGGGATGAGAGTGAGGCCTGAGGGGCTCTGGCCCAAACCCCTTCCGGCCCAAGCAAGTCCGCCCTGTTATGGCCCCCTTGGCAGCAGCCTGTCTCTAAACCTGAGCTGTGGGGTTGCTAGATCCAATAAAGGCGCCCCGGAAGTGGGCACTCAGGTAAACAGCAGAGGCTTTTTTATTTATTTGTTGTTTCTTGTGGTTTAAGTGGGTGATGCTTTGCAGAGCGGATTGGGTGGCCATTCAACTGTTCCACACATTTTGTCTGGTGACGTTCATTGCCAGCCCTGCAGCGTAACAGCTCTCTTCCCGGTCCCTGGCTGTGCTCCCTGTTGCCCTCCATCCTTCTATCCCTTCCCGTGTGTTTTAAATTGCGTCCCACGAGAGAGGCCCCATTTTGTTATGCCCAGTTCCCCCAGTGGTGACAATTCCCAGACTGCAATGTGTCATCGAAGTGGAGACACAGAGATCCTCACGTGCCACTCACATTGTCCTTTGACTTGTTCTCTGGTGTACACTGAGCTCCAGACAGTTTGTCCCTTGTGCAGGGTCCTGTGTCCCCACCTTGGCCAGGCACCAGCATCCTATCTCTACAAGGGTCCCTCACAGGGCCCTTTGTCATGGGTGGAATTGTGACCCCCACAAAGAGATGCTGAAGTCCTAGCCCCTGTACCTGAGAATGTGGCCATGTTTGGAAACAGGGTCTTTGCGGGTGCCATCAGTAACATGAGGTCACACGGGAGTCCGGGAGGAGAAGAGAGAACGGGGAGGCAGGGATCGTAGGAGGCAAAGCCAAGGAACACCATGATGGCCGCCATCCCCAGGAGCTGGGAGAGAGGCGGGGAGCAGCCGCCTCAGGAGGAATCCACACGGCCCACAGCCTGATTCAGACTCCCAGCTTCCAGACGGTTCTGGGAAGGCCCGGTGGTGCATTGGTGTGGCGGCCCTTTATAACGTCCTTTTATAACCACACTCACCTCCGTCCAGCCCCAGCCCCGAGAGTGGCAACCCCGAATCTGTGCCCAAGTTCTAACCCTTGTCATTTCAGAAATGAAATGGCAGTGGAGCCGTGGAGTGCAGCCTTTGGGGATCGGACTTCTCCGCCACAGGGGCCCTGCTGGTTCCTGTAGTCACAGAGCTCCTTGCACTGCGGTGTGGACGCCTTCAGGGACTGGGCTGGTTCCAGCTTTTGGCGACCATGAACGGTGCTGCTGGCACGCTGCTGTGCGGGACCTCATCTGTTTGTCTGTGACGGGCCCGTGAGACATTGCTGGGTGTGCGGTGGTTGGTACCACTGTGTTTGTATTTGCTCAGCTGGTGGAGGGGGCAGCAGCCGTCTGCCCCCTGCAGGACCAGGTCTGTGAGGGTCTTTCCAGGGCAGGGTGTCTTCTCCTGCCAGGGGCTGGCATCTTCCTCTAGTTTCCAAGATGTGAGGCACCGCCACACACAGCAGCTACTGCGCTGTGGGGGGCCTGAACAGAGACGTGTGGGGTGCCAGAGGGGTATGGGGAGAGGGGTGCCCCGTGCTCCCCAGGCTGCGGGCACACGAGGGGAAGTGTCTGCTCAGCAGGATGGACCCCTGGTTCAGGAAGCCTGGGGGCATGGGAACCGCCTCTGCGGCTGGCGGTGCCAGTTAAGTGCCATCCAAGCTCGGTGAAGGGCCTGTTGTGGGATAAGTGGTGCTGGCCCGGCGCAGGAGGTGGGAGCCCAGTTCACAGCTATTTCTGAGGTTGGAACAGGAAATGGTTAATAGTGTTTGCAAATAAAACTTTCTGTTCTGTCCTGTTTTTGAAACATTTCCCAGAAGCTCAACAGAGCGCCTAAGTTGTCTGTTCAATTTAAGAACCAAATTCAAAAGAAAAGGAAGGCACTATTTCCACAACTTACTGTAAACAAAAATAAAGATAATTGGGTTTGATGTTTGTTACTTAGGGTAACTGCCTTCCACCCTCATATCCAGACTTTTTAGAATGTTGTTGTAGTTTAAATGTGAATGTATATTCAAAACCCACAAATATGTGTGTGTGCATATGCATATGTGTGTTGTGTGTGTACATAGGAGTACGTGTGCATGCAGTGTAGATGTGTGTGTGTGTGTGTGCATTTGTGTGTGTGTCTGTGTCCCTGGGTGTGAGTGTGGTGGATGTGGATGTGTGGATGTACGTGACAGGTACATACATGCGTGTGCACATGTGTGGATATACGTGACTGGTACATACGTGCGTGTGTGCACGTGTAGATGTGTGGATGCATGTGGCTGGTACATGCGTGGCTGTGTGCATGTGTGGATGTAGGTGGCTGGTATGTATGTGCATGTGCACACATGTATGCATGTGTGTAACGAGTGTATTAACAGTTTCCTGCCTTCTTACACCAGCACAGTGGGCATTGTTGGGCTTCTTTCTGCTTGTCCTCTGGTGCCATGATACAGCTCGTCCTAGGCTCTGTGGGCACTGTGACCTTGGGCGGGCACTCAGCTGACCTTGTGGGAGGCAGGACACCACTGGCCTTTGGCACGTCAGTTCCCTGGTGGTCTCTCTGCTCCCTGTGGGCACGCCCACCTGTGGCATTCAGTAACTGTCCTGGGGGTCGTGCTCCCAGGCTCCCTTGGTCACCTGATGCTGGTCTCTGAGGCTCTTGCTGCCCTTCCCCTGCAGCCTTCACTGGCATGGTCTTCCCGCCACCAGGTCTTGGGGAGTGGCTGAAGCCTATCACTCTGTGGCAGCGGACTGGGTCAGGGGGCAGGCGCTCCTTGGGTGTGGGAGGGTCTTTAGGAAAAGAACCGGCCTTGGGGGCTGCCCGGGCTGCTGGCTCTGGGCCTCCCCACCCTGACTGCAGCCAGCAGCTGCCCAGAGCTTCGGACCCAGGGCCATACACCTTGCTTGTGTGCTGCGGATCGGCCCCTGGTGGCCAGAGGGTCTGGGGTCCTGCAGCTGCACCCACACTGTGGGGGTTGGGGGAGGGAGACTCTGACTCAGAGTGACCTCCCGTGTGTGGCAGTGGGTCTGTCTCTGGTGGCCAGGGCGTCTGGGGTGGCCCTGTGCTCCTGCAGCTGCACCCACGCCGTGGGACCTCCCGTGTGTGGAGGTGGGTCTGTGCTCCTCAGGGTCTCAATGGCTGAGTTCAGACGTCGGTCACCAGCCTCTCTCCTGAGGGGCCGCTGGGTGGACTCGAACCCCAGCAGCTGTCGGCAGCCTAGCGCATTCACAGTCTGCACCACTTGGCAGCTGGTTTGCTGCTTCTCCCCCCCGGGGTGGAGTCTCCTGGGTCGCCCTGGGGAAAGGTGTCCCTCCCTTCCCTCTGTGGCCCCTGGACGCCGGTGCTGGCCAACGTGCCCTGGCTGGCCCCGAGCCTGCTCAGGTGGCTCATCACGGCTCCCTCCAGCTTCAATGCCGCTTTCTCGCCTTGATTGCATTCGCTGTAGGGCAGCGGCCAGATGGAGAACCGCCTCCCCTCCACCGGCTGGGTCGCGGCGCTCTCCCAGGCTGCCCACCAGGAGGCACATGCCGGGCCCCTCCCGCAGTGGAGAGGCTGACGAGCGTGCCAGCCATGCCTTCCCAGGGCCCACACGAGCAGGCTTCATCCAAGTGGCCTCTCAAAGCCCCTCGCTCTGGGCATTTCCGCTTGAGGGTGAGGACTGGATGCACCTTCGGACCCCGCACACCCGGGGCTCATGTCTTTTCTCAAGTCCCTTTGAACCCTGATGGACGTCGGCCGATTCGCTTCTCAGCTCATTGGTTCTGGCTGTGGCCCGACATGCTCCTGCTGCCCTGCTCCCTGACACACCCACCAACAACTGGTGAGTGTCACACACACACCTGGGAAAGCCCAAGAAACCAGGCTGACGTGCCCAGGACGCAGAGGGAAGGATTCCAGGCGTGTGAGGCTCGGACCCAGCAACACGGCCCCGAGGGTTTAGTGAGGAAGGGCTCTCAGGTAAGCATGGACCTGCTCACCGGGGAGGCGGGCAGCCCTGTTGGGGTCAGAGGTGGGGGGATGGCGGGG